TTATTTTCTCAGGCAGGGCTCATGCCACCACCACGTTTGTTGGCCGGTTTATTCCAGATTGTTGGGTTTCGTGGCACAAAAAGATTGTGCGGCATTGGAGCACAAGGTGTTCAATTTGGAGTACAGCAAGGTCTCGGAGTACGTGGGGGGTGAGGTTCTCCGTGTACCCCCACGTAAGCGCGAATTCACGCAAGTTGGGGGTGTTTGCCTATACGAGTGTAGATATACAACGTAAGAGTGCATATGAAATGTATATAAATGTACATAAATGTTTAATAAAGTACAATACTGTACAGTCAATGATTCACTAATCATCGGTAGCATCCAGGTCAGAACACAGTTTTTCTGGACTCGTTTCTTGCACGGGCTATAGTTACACGCCGTCAGATACACATTCACGCAAAAGTGGTGGGGCGGGGGGGGGTAGATTTGACTCGCTTGCCGCGACGTGTGTGTAGTGATAGTACAAGTCACAAGTGTGAATCGGGGTCGGTCGCGTATAAGCGGGTCTGCGTACTCCTCACCCCCATCCTCTGAGCCCGCATGCTCTGAGACCTTACTGTATTGTGTTTCATTGTTACTAAAGAGCGATAGGCAAGTTGTATCACTGCGGTTTTGCGCCAAGTGTACATTTTTATGACTCAAGTTGGATTCCCTGCCACGGATAACGTCACAGCACGAACCCGCACCGACCAGCGTGCAGTGAAGGTTAAACAACTCCCACGCACCAACGTGGCATGGGGGGAAAGACTTTATCTGCCATTGGAATGACAAAGGGTCTTAACATTATTATATTGATTTAAAGCTTTCGTGACTGCAGGGATTCATCTTCTTGGTTCTTTCGGTAAAGTCACGTAGAATGGAAATAATAAAAATAAAACATAATAAAATAATTCTCACGACGTTACGGCCACAACGCAAGCAGCCGTCCTCAGGTTGCTTACGTTGTGGCCGAAACGTCGTGAGAATGATTTTATTATGTTTTATTTTTATCATTTTATTATTTACATTCTACGTGACTTTACCGAAAGAACCAAGAAGATTATTATATTGTTCATAATTAAATAATTAAGGTGAACAAGTCCAAAGAAAAATCCTAGCGTCGTGAAAAGGGGCTTCGGTGGTTGTACACTTGGTTTTCGTTTTCACAGAAACGCCAACTTAAATCTGTGCCTTCCACTTTAAGCATTCCACTTGTGATATTACCAATTGTCACTTTGCCTTTTTAAACAGCCATTTCAGCCCTTGTACGTACAAGGACGGCCTACAACCGATTCACTGATCTTGTCAGAGCTTGGAAGCTGAGCAGTTTTGGAGCCTGCGTAGCGCTTGGATGGGTGACCAACATGAATAAAACAAGTGTTGTTGGCTGCTGCAGGGCGATGTTATCAGGAAGGACAGTGGCGAAAAATCCATGGTTGTACTATACTCTTAGGTTTTTTTCGGTAAAGTCACATAGGTAAAAAATAAATTAAAATTAATGAAAGTAATATAAATAAAATAATAAATCACGACGTTTCGGAGGCAACCTCACTTGAGACAGTGAATCTAGCTGTGACGGTCCCACCTGATGACGGAGACTTGTGTTGCCTCCGAAACGTCGTGATTTTTTATTTTATTTCTATTATTACTTTTATTAATTTTATTTTATTTTTATTTCACTTTTATTAATTTTTATTTTTTACCTACGTGACTTTACCGAAAAAACCTAAGAGTATGAATCCTTGCAGTCACGAAAGCTTCAAATCTAGAACCATTATTGTACTACTATGCAGCAACATCTATGCTTCACACCTGCACCAACCCACACTGACCAGCAAAAATTACAATCAAATAATGTCCACAGTCTGCATGGCATGGGGTGGTCCTGGTCCTCACCAAGTAGTGGATTGATAAAAGGGGTTATACTGGTAGGAACCACCTGGTTCCACCAGCCCACAGGGGATTATTGTGTCCGTCCGTCGTTCATCCAAAAATAGGTGGGGCTGGGTGGAGAGGGGCTGGTCACCCCGTGGTGCCCTTATCAAACTCAACGTTTAACCTACTCACGCAGGCTTGTGCCTGCCCTCACAGTCGGGCATATTTGCGGAATACACCACGCCGCCGTTGACCCTGGCCATTGACCGAGCAACCCAACGTTCATACCAGCTCCTTCCGCAGGAATGTGTTACACGTACGCATTAAATGACACGCGAGTTTGGAGTGCCCAAGAACCCATGCAAAGTTAACCTGTAGCATCATGCACTGCACCATTTTTTTTGGTGGAAAAAAATGTTGTTTGGAATTAACGTTGCAGCACAGAGGGAACGAGTAGCAAGTCTGGGAACAAGCCGGTGTGCTCACCTGTAAAAATGACAACGCACAGATATCCATTTGTGTTTTAATTTCTTTACTTTGTAATGCAAATATGCACAGGAGGCGGTCTGGAATTTCCAGAATTGCATCAGTTTTTGTTGCGTTGTTGCGGGCGCAAAGAATGACACCCGCGGATTGCGCAGACGTGAACTCCGCCAACACTTGTCTCTGCGGGTAGCTGCACCCCCCGAGTTGGAGGATTCCTGGAAAAACCCGAGCTGGCTCCAAGTAGTTTGGTAACTTTTAAATAGTGGTGTTTGCACAAAAGGTAAGGGTAGGGCGGGCAGATGTGATTGAGATCCTAGAGGCCGGGTTCCACACATTAAGCGATCGGTTGCACAACCAAATTGACGCTCGAAAATCGTCGCAGCTTACATCATCGCTCGCAACTGCTTGCGTCTCCATCGGAGTGAGGAGCTGCGCGAAAAAGGACGCGTCAAAAGAAGCCAAGGTGTCCGCCCGTGCCCTTGACCGAATCGCGCCACCCACATCGGGATTGTAACGGCCAATCATAGTTCACAAATGTGCAGCACACAATGAAATGCGTTGCTATAAATCGCTCGGCAGATCGCTCGAAAGAACCGTCCACTGTCAGCAACGGCTTGCGCGACTGCCTGCAGAGACGTCGACATAAGAGCGATTCGGCTGCATGCAGCCAACCAAGTTGCCTTCATCCTGTGACGAATGGGGCCACTGGAATGCCACCGTTCGATGCTGCAACCAAGTTGCAAAACTGACCCTGGAGGCGTGGACCCGGCACTACATCATCCCACGGGGGATTCAAGATCGCCGCGTGCATTCACGAGGCGACATCGCACAAAAAGCCCTCTTTGGCCACGGCAAATCATTTACGGTTGGCGCGTTTCCCCTTCACAAACCGGTCAGAAGCAACGTATTCATTTTTAAAAGTACACCAGTCATCAAAGTTACCCATGATACGCGTCCGAGTTGCACTGCTATGCTCGGCACATGGAATGACCCCAACCCTGGCGATCGATTTTTGATAACGAGCGTCACGGTGTGTGCCCTCTTTGCCACCCGGCTACGCAACCGTTGGGCTGCGTAACAGTTGGGCTACGTAAGTCACCCGTCCTACATAACCGCTTCTGCACAAGTCTTGAGCCGATGTCCCCTTTAGCGCAATCAATCAATCTTGCCTCGGTTTCTACGTCGTGCTGGGCAGCTCTCCGATGCGTTTTGAGGTTGTGCACCGCGTGCAGTTTGGGATGATGGCCATCCACGAATTTGTATTTGGACGGAGGAGAAATGGTAATAAATGTGGAAGAACGCAGTGTGTGGTGGGTTTTTGAGAATGTCAATTTTGAGACCGTTCCGTTTGTGTTTATTTCCAGCAGACACACCAGGATGCTGATTCAAGCGACATTCTGGGGTTTAAATCGCTCGGGATGCATTGATTTCCCGCCTCCGCCCCCCACCCCTCCTGATTCCACACAGTTTAACGAGTGGTTACAATGTGGTTACCATTAGGTTAACACGTCACTTATATTTTGCCCTGGTAGTGCGAGTAGAATCATGGCTAAAGTATATTTAATAAGCAATCACATTGAGGAAATAGCGAATTCGTAAATCCACATGTTGATGTACATATCGTAGTAAAAGCATGTCAACATTTTAAAACCAAATTGTGATATGCCTATTGGGGTGTAACAATTCACTCCCTCCTAAGCAATTCATTTTTCAAAGTGGTGAATGTAGCAATCTCAAGTGGCAGGAGCGGGGGGGGGGGTGTAACATAACTTACAACGTACACACACACAAAACAACAGATTCTCGTGCACATCGTTTGGCGCATGTATTATGAGTATAAGAATGTATTAAGCAACGAATGTATGCGCTGTTACACACACAACTCCGATTCACTCGTAAACCTGTTGTGTAGAGCCCTTTTTCAAACCACTGCTGGACAAAAGCCTCTGCAGGCGGTGTCGGTAATGGGGGGGGGGGGGTTGTTTGTCCTATCGTTGCCATGCTGGTCACAGTACAGGTTGGGAAAGGAGAGAGGGGATATGGCCCAAGATGGCTTTGGATATCACTCGCCACGAATGTTTGTCTACGTCCGAGAATTGGACTCTGGGTCGCCGTATTTGCAAAGCGGTGCGCCTGGTGTCATTTAAATTGTCGCGATGTGCGGCGCTGCCATCACAGCTGCCTGGCGTTGTCTTGTTCCCAAGGTGGCGCTCTCGCCTTGGCCAGGCGCTGAGCCTCGGGCCGTGATGGTGACGACGACTTAGCTGCAGTCCTTGTGGCACATTCATTTACCACGTCCGTGACAATTTACCCCGACGCATCTGCATTAGAGAAAGTAAACGACAAGAGACCAATTTTGATTTAAAGCTTTCGTGACTGCAGGGATTCATATTCTTGGTGCTTTCGGTAAAGTCACGTAGAAGGGAAACAATAAAATAATCTATATATATAAAATCGTTCATGTCTGTGTGTCTGTGTGTGTGTGTGTGTGGACTGCACTTTCATTGGACGGCGGTTGCCCCTGGCAACGGCTAGCCACGCCTTCGCCGCTTTCATTGGACGGCGGTTGCCCCTGGCAACGAGTAGCAACTTTTCTCCGCGGGGTGGACGCCATTTTAATAGCGCGGGGGGGGGGGGGGGGGGGGGGGGGGGGGGGACCGGCACCCGTACCCAGCGTTCGCCGGGTGGGAAAATCAGGCAAGGCGGGAGGCTCTGCACGGTGCTAGGCCTCGACACCCAACACGCCACTCTGAGGTAAATTCATACAAATTTCACGTCCTCTACAGAGTGGCGAGGGACGCAGAGTGGCGAGGGAGGGACTCAGCCTCAAAACGAGTAACTGGTGTGGCGTATTAACATCGCCACTGGGGAGACAAAGGCGGCCGGGCGTGGTGGATACAAGTCCCGGGCAAAGCCGGGTCATGACTATGTGTGTATGTGTTTGTGTATGTCTGTGTGTCTGTATGTATGTGTGTATGTATGTGTCTGTATGTGTTTGTGTGTATGTATGTGTGTGTCTGTATGTATGTGTGTGTGTATGTGTTTGTGTGTATGTATGTGTGTGTTTGTATGTATGTGTATGTCTGTGTGTATGCATGTGTGTGTATGTGTTTGTGTGTATGTGCGTGTATGTATGTGTGTGTATGTGTGTGTCTGCAGCAAGCGCGTGTATGTGTACCTATGGACGCGCGCGCGTGTGTTGTGTAGGGGGAACGGTAGTGTAGTGCTTAGCGTGCTGCCTGTGTCTATGTGTGTGTGTCTGTGTGTGTGTGTCTGTGTGTGTGTCTGTGTGTGTGCGTGTGTGGTGTGTAGGAGGAACGCTAGTGTAGTGCTTAGCGTGCTGCCTGTGTGTGTGTCTGTGTGTGTGTGTCTGTGTGTCTGTGTGTGTGCGTGTGTGTGTGTGTGCGTGTGTGGTGTGTGGGGAGCGGTAGTGTAGTGGTTAGCGTGGTGTCTGTGTGTGTGTGTCTGTCTGTGTGTCTGTGTGTGTGTTCTGTGTGTGTGTCTGTGTGTGTGCGTGTGTGGTGTGTGGGGAGCGGTAGTGTAGTGGTTAGCGTGCTGTCTGTGTGTCTGTCTGTGTCTGTCTGTGTGTTTCTGCGTGTGTCTGTGTGTGTGTCTGTGCGTCTGTGTGTGTGAGGAGCGGTGGGTGTAGTGGTTAACGCTACGCTGCGCTACCAACCCGGCGAACCGAGTTAGATTCCCGCTCATGGCCACCACCGGTCAAGATTATTTGAACCTCCCCTAGGTCGACTCAGCCTCAAACGAGTAACTGCTGTGGCGTATTAACATCGCCACTGGGGAGACAAAGGCGGCCGGCCGTGGTGGATACAAGTCCCGGGCGAAGCCGGGTAGTACAGCTAGTACAAATATAAAACAATAAAATTCTCACGGCGTTTAGACTTTTTTCAAATTTTCTTGCTGTGGATTTCACACCTGATGATGATTGCTTGTATTGGCAGTTGAAAGGTCGTGAGAATTTTGTTTAATATTCTTATTATTTTGTTTCCCTTCTACGTGACTTTACCGAAAGAACCAAGAATATAAAGAGACCAGCTGGACACAGGAGTAGCCCCCATGAGTGAAGTAAATACAGGTAGGAACAACAGTTCCACACTGCCCACCAGGGATTATTTGTCTGTCGTGCATAGCCACACCCTCGATTTGTATTTCAGAGCGCTTCGGGAGGGCTCGGCACCACGTGACGTGCCGCCCCACGCAGCTTGCGCCGCGTGACACGGATCGCACGAATGCGCTGTCCAACCAAGTTCCTACCTGCCCACTCCGAAGGAACGTGTTAACCGCTTGTGTGGTTTCATGCCATCTCATCAAGGTGGATGCAGAGACGACACCAGGCCCTAACGCTGCACAGCCTCTCCTCGCGCGCCGGTCCAGCTTACGAGGTTTATCAATCGACATCCGTGGGAATTTCACATTTATTTATTTTTTTACATCAGATTGGCAAATGATTGCTTAACGTAAAGAAACAAGTCCGTACCTTGTTGACACGAGGGGGCGTGGGATCGGAACGCGGATGATGCAGTGGGTTCGCTGTGGTGGTGAGCACCTTATGCAAAACTTTTGGAGGGGGAGTTAACGGACCGGGCAGAGGTTTACTTGAAGAGCCCTAATCTTGTAGAACGACATTGGCCCAGACGGCTGTAGACCAAGTAAGGTTTCTGACCTATGTACACATTTCTGCGTTATCCCCGTCGCAAAGCACGCCTGTTCTCCCCAGACACTTGCTCCCGTTTCCCACTGGCACATCAGAGCCAGCGCAGGACCTTTGCGGTGAGGCAGGTGGGTTTTCCCCCACTGGCTATTTGCCGCCGATATGCCGAGCTTACAAGACAAAAGTGAATCTGGCTCAGCGGGGACAAGCAGGGCAGGGATGGGTCTAACGGTGCGTTGGCCGCGTGTAGACATCGGTACGTGGAGACCAACGCAGTGCATCACCCGCGACATTTTACACGTACACGGAGGTCTCAACTTTCGATTATACACTGGTCAACAAAAAAAATACATTTTTTTCTGGCCTGGACTTTTGCAGCTGTTTTAGACTAATTTCAGGGTGCCGATTCCAAATCTGATCTCAGATTTGCTCTATCACATCTCATTTTTATACTATCGGCATACCCCATTTTCATTGATTTTATCCCAAATTAACTCTGTCACTTATGATTGCAAGTTGTTGCGAGTCAGTGACTGCTTTGGTGTTAAAATATGGCGCTGTATTTTTTAAGGATAGTGTGTTTATAATATCATTTTATGTAAATATCCACATTTATTTAATATTTTTCTTCTGACGTTTTTATTGAAAATGCAATATTTCATATCTCAAAAACCTGATGTGATAGACAAAAACTGACTTGCCAGCTATGGAATCGGCACCCCAAAATTCCCTTCAAACCGTTGGAACACCTTGTGCCAGAAAAAATGTGTTGACCCGTGAATTATTGCACGTTGACATCGGTGGCACGGGTCCTGGCGCAGCTCGGATGCCAAGTGGGAAAAGAGGCATCTGATTTCCCCCCACGCGAAAACGACCAAACATCATCTCGACAAACAAGACCCCCTCCCCCTCTTGCACGAGAGAGAGAGCCCCTAAATTCACTCTCCAGATAAATAAAGTACTGTTGTCATTATTACTGTAATACTAAACCCTCCCCCGCAAGTCGCCGGTGCGATCTTTTGAGAGTTCGCTCAACCCACCCCACCCCCACCACCCCCCCCAAAGACGACGCTCAACTATCTCCATCGTCGTCGTCGTCGCTGGCGCCGGCGTCGGGGTACATCTCCGTGGGGATGTCGGCGTCCGCGTCGGCGCCGCCCACGCGCTCGATTGTCACCAGCCCGTGGAAGAGCGCGTAGCCCACCATGGCGCCCACCGCCACCAGCAGCGACAGCAGCTGGTTCCGCAGCTTGTGCGGCTCGTGATCCCCCTCGGAAGGCGACGGGGAGCTTGCGGGCTGATTCTGCCGCCGCTGGTGATTCTTGCTCGGTGGGCCGTCTGCGGAAGAGGGAGGTCTGGTCAGTTTAGTCGGTGGGGGCGCTCCGGCAACAACGGTCATACTTTTCGATTTAAAGCTTTCGTGACTGCAGGGATTCATCTTCTTGGTTCTTTCGGTAAAGTCACGTAGAATGGAAATAATAAAATAATAAAAATAAAACATAACAAATAATTCTCACGACGTTTCGGCCACAACGCAAGCAGCCCGTCCTCAGGTGGAGAGCAGGTCTGTCGAGAAGACAAAGTCTGAATGTGTCTCTGTCTGAATGCATGTGTCTCTGTCTGACTCTGTCTTGTCGACAGACCTGCTCTCCACCTGAGGACGGCTGCTTGCGTTGTGGCCGAAACGTCGTGAGAATTATTTTATTATGTTTTATTTTAATTATTTATTATTTCCATTCTACGTGACTTTACCGAAAGAACCAAGAAGAACGGTCATACTCGTAGGTTTTCTCGGTAAAGTCACGTAGGTAAAAATAAAATTATAGAAGTAATAATAGAAATAAAATATTATGACTTCTATTAATTTTTATTTTATTTTTTACCTACGTGACTTTACCGAGAAAACCTAAGAGTATGAATCCTTGCAGTCACGAAAGCTTCAAATCTAGAAACAACGGTCATCCCTCGCAGGGCGGCAGCGGCTTTTGGCTTAAGCCATCGGACAAAGGCGGTCGCTGCATCACGCGCTTTCAGGTGCACTTCCGCGGCCGTCTGGAACGCCCTCCCGATATTAGGAAGCCAATGAAGCTATGCACTTTAAAATCATCAAGAGTGCCAAAACGAATTTCTTTAGAACTGCTATTTTGTTTTTAGTTTGGGGTCCTTCCCCCACACCTCTGATAAATACGGTTGGCTAAATACTACATACGGTGCAAAAGATATTTAACATACAACGGGAGGAGCGACGCACAACAACTACAACAATAGGCGGAGCGTAGGGTGGTGCATCTGCCATTGACCGGCGTTAGCGCCAGGATTGCGTTTGGAATAATGTTCGGTCTGCCGATTTTGCTGCAGCCCTATCTCAGCAATGAGTCGGCGTTATTTGGCGCCATCCCGCACACATTCCACCCACCTCTCCCGCCCTGCCCTTACCCTGCTCTTACCCTGCTCGTCCTGTGGGAAGTACTGCGCCAGTATGCGCTGGCAGAAGCGGCACAGGTTGTCCAGCCCTTGAGGTGCTGCTGCAGCTTGGCGCTGGGCAGCGGCGCGAGCAGCAGCGGAGCCACGTGTCCCAACACCACCGCGTCCAGCGTGGTGGGCCTACGCACACGGGGCGAGGCGGGGAGGGGTCAGTGAGCGACAGAGGTCGCAACCGGGTACCCGATACCCGTACCCTACCCGATACCCGGCTACCCGTTTGCGACCCTGGTGCGGCCGGGTACGGGTACGGGTAGACCGTGAGTCACTGGTGAGTAACCGTTTGTCACTCATTTCCCAACGTCTTGTCTCTTCTCACAATTCAAGTTCCTAGAATCAACCCACCCGCGCCTGCAACATGGCTTCATTCCAGAGGTCGCAATCAGGTACCCGATACCCATACCCTACCCGTACCCGGCCGGGTATGGGTAGGGTACGGCCGGGTACGGGTATGGAATCAAAACCCGTTTGCGACCTCTGGTGAGCGACCATCTGGAGCAGGGGAGGTGTACGGCAGCCTCCTCGTGCTTCTACTGCTCTCGTATGGCGCGGCAGTTTGGGTTGCCACGTGTCCTGCTTTTCCCAGGATCGCCTCTTGTCGAGGTAGCTGCGCGTCTTTCCAGGACATTAAAACGTTCCGTTGTTTGCGAGCCGGCTTACTAAGAGGGCAAGTGGCAACCGCCGATTGCAAGCAAACCTGCTGCCGATATAAGCACACTCTCACTTGATACAGCTATCGTGCTGTGACGGTTCCTCCTGAAGATGGAAGCTTGTGTTGCCTCCGAAACGTCGTGATTTTTATTTTATTTTTATTTTACTTTTATTTTTATTTTTTTACCTACGTGACTTTACCGAAAAAACCTAAGAATATGAATCCTTGCAGTCACGAAAGCTTCCAGTCTAGAAATAAGCACACCGCCTTTCTCCCACTGGGCGTGCTTATACGTCCAACATTCGACTGCGCCACACGAGCCGACCACTTACGAGTCGCGGAAAAAGTATTCCTTGTCACCCAGCGTGTGCGACAGGAGGCTGAGGCAGTCCATTGCCTCCGCGTAAATCTGGAATCGAGAAAAAAAAAACACAAAAAATGCAGACGCAATAATCATGAGCACACGGTTTGCTACGTACGCCGCGAAAGAAGTTCGACGTGCATGCGTAGACAACGTAGGGGAGAAATATCCGCCTATTTTTAAATCCTTTATTTTAAGTTCACTTGCTTGCGCGCTTACGACCGTGCAAATCTTTCGGTCGTTTTTTAACCCACTTCCCGTGATCCAATCGAGCTGACATTTTGCACACAGACTCGTTGTGCGTGACAATTTATTTTCGTGAAAAAAATATTTCCAAAATTTGTCCACTTTTTAGGAAATTATTTTTTCATATATTAATTAAAATACCAATGTGATAAAAATGAAACTCTTACTCAAGTAAAAAACTGAACTGAATAATAAATTCAAAACCGATGCCACGCATATATAGGATTTATAGTGAAAACTAAACTTTGTGTTTACGGGTAAATTTTGTAACTCGCACAACGCAACACACGGTCCTGAAAACGAGAATTTTACTGCCATTTAGAAGACGAAAAGATAGCAACAAATGCTTTTTGACTTGGCCGCAGACTATCATCTGGAACGCGCCAACATGCCATCAGATCTCGTAAGCTAAGCCGGCTTGAGCCTGGACAGCGCCTGGATGGGTGACCACCAAGCACGCCAGGTTGCCTTAGGCAGCTGCAGGGGGCTGTGCTAATTCGTAACGAACAAGAGGGAGGTGCGGCAAATTCCACTGCACTGTACTATGTGTGCTCCCCACCTTCGCCAAGGTGAAGTACGCTTGAACAATCCCCGCGACCCACAGGGCACGGGGGGGGGGGGGGGGCCCTTCTCCAACGGCGGGATTGACAAAAGGGGGCTTTTCGATTTAAAGCTTTCGTGACTGCAGGGATTCATCTTCTTGGTTCTTTCGGTAAAGTCACGTAGAAGGTAAATAATACAAATTTTGCATAAGAAAATACAATTATCACGACGTTTCGGCCACAACGCAAGCAGCCAGCCGTCCTCAGGTGAAGAACAGATCTGTCGGAAAGACAGCGTCTGAATTTGCAACAATACCACAAGAAATCATTCAGACGCTGT